AACATTTAAATTCTGTGTGTGGAGTATCAAAGGAGAGCAAACCAACGCGATAATGCAATAACAAATAGCAATTTGTGCAGTGATTTTTCAACTTTTTATTTCCAGTAAATTATAATTTCTAGAGGCTGAAAATACGCCTCCTTAAATCTCAACAGTTCTCATTAATTTGAAGTGAACATAGCTTGGTTTTGATTTTATCTTGCTTCTCTTGCTTATGACATTTTGAGATATTGCGTGTTTATTTTAGTTTGAAATGTTAGACTTTTTTAATTTCGAAAAATAGATCATTCAAACAATTTCGTAATGTTCTTCGAGGAGAGCTGTAAAAAAAATAATCTTTCAATTATCAGAATTTGTCGGGCAAACCATTGTTCATTGTTTTGAATAATACATTTTAGCGTTGCCTTTAAAATTTTGATCACTGAAATGAGTCTCTGACTCTGTATCAACCCATCCTTCATCCTTCATCCTCTACTGCTTGATCCGCAACTCAATTTGCTTTTGAACTTCGTAAATTTTGGAAGTACTCTCGACAGAATTATTTGGAGTGGAAAGTTTAATTGCAGGTCACTCCAGTTAGTCTATTGAGGATCTCAAGTTAGTCTCAGTAAAGTTTTTGAGCCCGAAGTCATCGACTCATTTTGAAGTCCGTTGAACGAGAAATCGAAAAAATTGGCTCCGATTCCGCAAATTTTAGGGATGACAAGTTTGAAGCGGATTTGTGTCATCCGCGGTTGAGACTGACAACTGACTTTCTGTAATAAAACTTTGTTTGAAAAGAAAAAATTATGTATTAAATTTGTAAATCCATACTTAAATTCGGAGAACTGCGTAATCCATCGCTGAATTAAATTAAAGAAAAATACATGAACACATTTGCAACATAAAAAGTGTTCCCCAGTCGACATAAGTCATGTTGAAGGATAAAATATCGTAAATATAATACCATGAGCAAAATATCAACCAACCAATTAGTCTAAGACTAATTAGCGACTGGATGACTTGAATTAAGAGTGCGCAAGTTAGTCGTAATTTGCTAGCAGTTTACGGAGTCTTCTCTGCGGGTCTCTGTGAAGCAATTATGCATTGCGGCAGAGAGCGGCAAGGCGTCATTAGAGACCTCTTATTTGTGACCTCGAGACCTCATTTGTGACCTCGAGACCTCATTTGTAACCTCGAGACCTCATTTGTAACATCGAGACCTCATTTGTAACATCGAGACCTCATTTGTGACCATGAGAACTCATTTGTGGCGTCATTTGCGACCTCGAGGCCTCATTCGATCGTGACCTAATTTCTGACCTCGATGCCTCATTTGCGACGTCGAGACCTCATTAGTGACCTCGAGACCTCATTAATAAACTCGAGACCTCACATTATTGAACTTGAGGCATAGGGAGCTCTCGGAACATAGACCAACATGTGGCGGCTTCTGTCAGAAGAGAATTGGCACTAATGATCATGCGGTAGAGTTTTATGATCTCATGAAGTGTAGCATATTGACGAGATACTATTAGCTCTGCTGGAGACAGAGCGGCTAAATGAACTTGTTATGTATATTATTGAGCGAATTGAGACTAATCCTAAAACATCAAGAATAAAATTAAATTATCTAATCATGTGGTACGCATGATTTTCTCCAATATTAAAATGATGCACGTCATCTAAATAGCGCATTCAGAGGTTGCCCTGCCTGGAGTTGGCACTGTGTTAATGTAGAAATATTAATTGTATTTGTGTACTCAGGCAAAGTGTTTATATATACGTTACTTTCAGTTGAATGTGATTGTAAAATGCAAAAAACGTGATAAAATAAGAGTAAAAATTAACATAGAAAAAAGCTATACAATTTTGTGCGCTGAAAATTAAAATTTATTTAATTAGCGTCTGTTGGTGCAGCCAAAATTATTTCCGTTTCTACAAAACGGAATCAGCACCAATGGCTTCTTTCCAGTTCAATTTTCATAAATAGCTGAACTTTAAAATTCGTTTAAACAGAAAGCAATAAAATCTTCTAGTCGAGCCTAAGAGTTCGAAAGAAATTCCTGCGATGGGTGTTTCCAGCTCCAACGTTCAGCGATGCATGGGTTGAAATTCCAATACAATGTTCCATAAGTTCATGCAAAATAACACACCGATTTGGATGCAACAACGTCTTTTCTCTATAAACAAACGCATAAAGTTTTCTACTTGGCCTTCTAAGCAGCGCAAAGCAAGCGAGACCTGGCAGAGCATCGATAATTTTATAGCGCCGAGTCTTATGGTTTCCAATAGCGAGAAATACTGCAGCTTGGAAGCTGGAGCGTCCTTTGAGGCTGTTAGTGGCAGGTTAGTGGCATATTGTTTCTGGGCGTCCTTTTCAAGAGCCTGAGATATATGGGAGGCTCTTCGCAATCTCCAAGAAAATGCATTCTTTCTTGTTCGGTCCCTAGTTTGCAGGTTCCAGTAAATAATTTTTAGATATAACATTTAAGAAGTCGTGCTTAAAAATTTGATTCGACCTAATGAGTTCTAAGCGAATTCATGACGGATGGTTTGCGGACAATTAAGACAATTAACCTGGTAAACTAAAAAAAAAATAAAAAAGGTCAACAATTGTCCAGAAACTTTAAAAAAAATTGGGCCAGCACCTACTACAATTGGGTGCTTAGTCACGTAATTGAGCCTCTTAATTATGATTACAAAAGGCCAGGACTAGCAATACCATCTGCAGTTAGGGAGAAATAAGATTCGAGCGCACTGGGCATCACAACAACGCATTAGCTGGCCGCCGTCGGGTTGTACGATTGCTCTCATGCTACAGTGAAGGTTTGTGGGTTCATTATCATAACGTGGGTACAGTGGAGGCCCATTGGCTCATTATCACGAAACGTGGGTACAATTGAGGTCCGCGGGTTCATTATCACTAAACGTGGGTACCGTTACCGTTGAGGTCCGCGGGTTCATTATCACAAAACGTGGGTACCGTTGAGGTCCGCGGGTTCATTATCACTAAACGTGGGTACCGTTGAGGTCCGCGGGTTCATTATCACAAAACGTGGGTGCCGTTGAGGTCCGCGGTTTCATTATCACAAAACGTGGGTACCGTTGAGGTCCGCGGGTTCATTATCACTAAATGTGGGTACCGTTGAGGTCCGCGGATTCATTATCACTAAACGTGGGTACCGTTGAGGTCCGCGGGTTCATTATCACTAAACGTGGGTGCCGTTGAGGTCCGCGGTTTCATTATCACAAAACGTGGGTACCGTTCGCGGGTTCATTATCACTAAATGTGGGTACCGTTGAGGTCCGCGGGTTCATTATCACTAAACGTGGGTACCGTTGAGGTCCGCGGGTTCATTATCACTAAAGGCTGCCACTAAAACATCGACTCTCCTTCCCCATGCAAATCCAATGTCCTTTTAACTGAGAAAGAATGCAGATTTTATGGAGGGTGCGTGCGAAGCTCTGAACAACTCTAACAACTATTCTCATTTGAGCGTCCGAACGACGTGCCGGAATTCGGAGCTCATATGAGAGATTTAGTCCTGAACTCCGAGGCATTCCGACAACGCGTTTTTGCCTCTCTCCTTCAGCCATTTTAGAACATCCTCGACCCTCCTGGGGCCGGTGAGTCCATGCGAACTTTGTCCAGTCGTTGGAAAATATATCACTCGACAAAGTTAAAGGAATTCTATTCAAGGCATAAGTTTAAAAACTGAATTTCAATTGGACGCGATGATATGACCTCGTCTTTTTGAAGGGTTGCTGAGTGAATGGGATATGCGCTAAGGTTGTTCGATTGAAATTCACTGGAAATCTTTTATATTGTTAAAATCAGTCAATAATCTGAACTGAAAGACTTAATAGAAAGTGCTTGGATATATATTGTTCGAAAAACTGGTTTTACGTTATTCTCGAGCTTTGTGAATAGCCAAATTTATGAATAATAATGGATTATCTGACGCGCGAGTGGATGAATACTTTGCAAAAAAACTCCGATCACACAAATTTCCGCATACCTGTGAGAAGACGAAATCGATTTTCACTTGCACAGCACGAACTGGACCTTCTCTCTCTGCCACGTTCAACATACTTACTTGTATCGGTCTAAAAATTTTCTTTAGATGCCGTGAAATGTGAAAGTATTTAAGACTAATGACCTGCTAACGATGAATCACTCGACTCTAAGCTGAGTCACATGTTCCGATGTTGGTGTCTATAGGGTTATTTTTTAGTCCATATGAATTATTACAACTTTGAGCTCGATGCTGAGTGAGGCTGCTAGTGGAAAACTTTTTCCCACACAGATATTGAACTAATATCTTTTCCTACCGCGGGTTAAAAATTTGGCCTGCTTCTTCTAGTTTTTTTTTATAATTTTGCATTTTATTCAATATGAATTTTGACTTCATGTTGCCACATTCATTTCACCAATGCTATAGACAGTCTACGTTGTAATCATTCTCAATTTTTTTAGTTAAATATTATGGAAATTTGTGTAGCTTCAATGATAAAAATCTCAATCGACGAATAATATTGAAATTATTAGTTTCGAACATTTCGGTAATACAAAACAATATAGGATAAAAATTCAGTTCCACATGCAGTTAACTTACTGCGGTTCTCGCAGCTAGTGACGCAGACACGTGCCATCTGGCGTTACTGGTTAATTGTATTGATGGTTTTAGATGTTTTTGGTTTCTCGTGCTAATGGTTCGTGGTGTTAATAGATCTCGGCGTTACTGGCCCCTTGTGTTTCTCTCAGCCATCATTCAGTGGCGTCAGTGGTGAGTGGCGTCAGTGGTGAGTCACGCCACTGGTGTCAGTGGTGAGTGGCGTCATTGGAGAGTCGCGCCACTGGTATCAGTGGTGAGTCGCGCAACTGGTATCAGTGGTGAGTGGCGTCATTGGTGAGTCGCGCCACTGGTATCAGTGGTGAGTCGCGCCACTGGTATCAGTGGTGAGTCGTGCCACTGGGGTCAGTGGTGAGCAAGAACTTAGGAGTGTCAAACACCAACAGCAAGAATATTTTATTGCATAGAAATATCAACATAAAAACTGACCCAAAATGAATATTACGAAGCCAATCAATTTTAAATAGGTACAGAATTAAATAGTTAACTTTAATATAAATACATAAGTGGGTTCGTGATGTCGTCGTTCAGAATGACAGACAATAATAAATATTCAAGATATTTAATTAATGATGTTTTACGAGTTACTGTGCCTCGGAATATAATGAGATGTTTATAATTCTGGTATCCAGTTAAAATTTAAAGTACGATAATTATTAATATTTCTTTTTACTAATTTGTCTGTGCTCACTTCGCTAATAATTCGAACAGCAATCAACGGGATTCGTGACCTAATCATTCAGTTTCATGTTTATCAAGAACCTTCGAATGCATCACGATTAACATTACCAGATTACAGCACAAGAAGACTCAAAAATATACATAGATAGTTGATACGAATGCATACTTGTGTAACAACAGAACACTCGTATGGGAATAAGTAATACAGTTTTCAAACTAATCAATATATAAATATTTTGACGAAATATTCTGTCAACACAAAATGACCCCACAATGACTACTTGGCATAAAACAGAATTATTGCTTAATCGTTTTAGCTTCCTGTAAACATTCGTGTTAAGCGAGAAAGCAGTCAGTTGGGAGTTCGTGTTTCGGCAATCTGGGCCGTGCTTGTGCGCGATTACAGATACGGGGTGTTGAAGCGAATGATTACGATCTATGGCGGATGTCACAGAGAACTGGTACCAGAATGATATACTAAAATACAAACTAATTGGCATTCATCACCACCATGAGATGGAGTTTTTAAAAAGTAGAGGTCAATTACGAAAACCCAGGAAGCACTCAAATACCAACACAAAATTTGATAACATCGCTACGTGACGATACAAATAACTACATAAAGGCTGCGATTTACCTATGCATAGAAATTTAAGATAAAAGATAAATTCGCAACTTCACTGAGAACTGAAAATTAGTTTCAAAACTAACTATATTTTTATCGAAAATCTACCCCATTTTCTTCCCATTTCAAGCAAATTTATGCATTATTGTGCAAAAATATTCAACATAACCATAAGCGATTTTAGGTTCGCCACACATATTTTAACGAAATAAGTGATCATAAATTCTTTGGCTTCGGATAATTTCATAGCTCTTACACTCAAGACACCGTGGAAGTCCAGAAAACAGTTCAAACCTTCAGGACGGTTACTTGTTGGCTTACCTTAGCGTACACGATAACAATAGACACTTTATACAGCATGCAAAGTATGTAGAATGTACATTCATTCATTCATTCATTGTACGTATGCACAATGTACATGCACGCCCCCACGTGATCTATCACTAAATACTCTGCAAAATGGAAGAAATAATCATTAAAAATAAACTGTTGTGAACAGTTCAGTAAATATTACTTTCACTCTGTCGTACATTTGAGACACAACATTGCACTGGAAACCCTCGTCGAAAATACAATACAAAAAGGTAGCGGTCACGGTACACTTTCCATTCCAATAGTTATATAACAAAATTAAATTATTTAAACCCTTAAATTGGAAACCACATTGTGCTGTCTTGTCATCACTAAAATGATGCCAATGTTGCAATGTATAGAAGTAGTAAGATAAGTTTCCGAGTCAAAATTTGCAATTGGTCAACATGAGATGGTACTGAAAATCTTGAAGGAAACCTTTTGTAGAAGGTCTATCAATACATGTAAGTAAAAAGCTGGCAGTGTGAGTGCAATAGCAATTCTTTGTACAAAACTAAAAAGTATTTCAGTGAATTTCTTCATGATAAAACAATAACTACGATTATACATTTACAATTAATAACCGTTTAATCGAATTTTAAACGTCGGAACATTTTACTCAAGTTTCGTAGCCTCCTCTACAGCAGTAGCAAGATCAGGTACGGGCATAAGTACGGTAGAAGATGCAGTAACCTGCAAAGGCAATACAGGACTCGTCATACTCAACACCGGCAACTTGCTCACGTTACTCTCCTTTGCCGAGCGAAGCGCCTGCAAGACAGCAACTTTGTCCAGTTCTCGCTGTGTTGGGCGTTCTAAATCGAGACAGATCTCTGAACATCGGCTGCCAAAACACTCGAGCACTTTCGTGCGGTAGTCTACAATGGTAGCAACTGGATTTCCAGTAAGAACCACGTCCTCTAAACATGGTAATTTCGACAAATGTTCTACTTCCTTGATATCTGTAATCAAGTTACTTGAAACGTCTAATGACACCAGAGAATATAAACATGCAAGCCCAATGAGAGACCTCATTTTATTTCTTGACAAGTCTAAGTGGACAAGGTTGCCAAGCTTGGTATGCAAGTCAGGCAATTCAACTATCGAGTTATTAGACGCCACAACTGATATCAGGTATGGAAGTTTGGTGAGATAATCTAAACTGGATAACTTGTTTCCTGAAAGATTAATAGTCTCAAGTTTGCGACACAAGCTCACAGAGAGGTCAATAGATGCAATGGCATTGTTGCTAAGGTTTAGGTCTTTCAGAGGAGCCCACTGAGGCAAGGATTGAAGAACTTCCATGTCCTCTTCACTGAAGTAGCGGTGTACAGCGTCACATAATAATAAGTCACATATGCGCTGTAAGCCGCATCCTGGAGCATTCAACTTAACAAGGCTTCTGCGTAGACTGGATGCATCAGTGATCTTCAACACGTTACAATCTTGGAGGTGAAGCATGTGTAGCTTCTTGAACAGGTTGAAGTTGAATTCCAGCTCATTTGGAATGATATTGCTCTCACTGCAAGGAAAAACTCGTCATGATTGTATGGATGGAATACAATCACAAAAGCTACCTATAACTGCAATGTGAAATTAAAATAACGTTTTGTTATAAAATTGTCTGATGCTGACCCCAGAACTTGTAGCCTAAGTATAATTTAAAGCAATTGGAGGCACAAATAAATAGCTTATTCAAAATGATCACTTCCATTCATTAAAAGCAGCTATTATAATTCAACAGTAAATAATAGCTAATTAGGATATATAGATTGAAACCAAAAAAAATTTCAATGTATTTTACAAAAAAGTGAAAATTTCACACTATATATACTAGTGTATACAGTGTGAAAATTTCACACTATATTACCACTGATGGATCCTCAACAAATTCAACAATTATAAAGAATTTATGTTATTTTTTCAGTCAATTTTACAACAGATTACATAAAATTCATTTTAAATTTCAAGGCTCAAAATCAACAAACTTGTTGGCATTCAATGGACACCCACCGCCACTTGTGCCAGGATCCTGTGATGGTGAGAGACCGCATACGAGCAGCACCCTCAGCCAACTGCACCATGTCGTGCATGCCCCCTGATGTGGGATGTGATGCGCACAGCTCAATTGTACTCACTGCATGCATCTGAATGGAAGTTGGGAGTGTAACAAACTGAAAAAAGGATTGTGGTCTGTATATTGTACCAGTAAACAATGATTAACATGTGCTGAAAAGAATTTTATTTCATTTTTAATGAGGAACACAATGATGGTGGCCAAAAATTTTTTTCACAACACAGATAGAAAACTAAACAGTTGATGTGAGGTGAAAGAGCAACAACAAAAAGCACACAATTATTAATATACCTCCAGCACAGTGAGCTGCGTTTGTTTTTGATGAGATGTGAAGCGCTGATCAGAAGCCAGACTACGTCCCAGGTACAACATCTCATACTGTGGCAGCAAGAGGAACTCGGCGAGTTCATCAGCTATGGCACGCTGCATCAATGCAACAACACCCTGAAAAAACTAGAACTGTAAATAAAAATGCATGGTAATGCCTTATGAGTAGAAAGAGACCCTCAAACCAGTTTGAGATTTGAATAAAAAAAATTTTAAATGTGTGGTAAATAGAACATGAATGTTAAAAAGGTTTAGTTTCTAATGTTAGAAAAAAATTTACTAGAATGTTAAAGATGAAATTCACAACCCAAACCAGCAGCAAACAGGTCATTCTAATGGAGTACCTGCAAATAAGCTTGTAAGTCAATTCTTCTTCTCTCAATAAAAGTAGGATCCTTGTTTCCAATGATTTTCTTGGGTGGTAGAAGATGTTTAGAAATTCCATGGTTAGTAGTGAGACGTTGGTGAAGACACTGGAAATCCTTATAACGATGTTTGACAGCCCATTGCACATTTCCCACATGTACAATGATGTTGTATTCTGTGAAATCTGCAATGTTTAGGAAATTTCATTTGTTATACGTAGCAATTCAAATGAATTTAATTTACATGGTTTTCAACTGAAAATTTCCATTATGTCTTTTTGAATAATGCACACGAGTCAAACCTTATATTTGTACTGAGATTTTGAGTGGATTCCAAATGAAATAAATTGATTAAATATTTCAGTTCAATTTTGCAGTTGCATTTTACTGTTTCAAAAATGATCAGGTTTAATATAAATTATAAAACATAAACCTGTGGCTTCAGAAACCTATTTTCAGCTTAAGAAGTAAACATTCATAAAATCTGCAATTTATTACACTAATGGACTAATTTATTGCACGTACTATTATGATACCTATTTAGCATAATAAAATAATATTGTGCAGAGTGCACAATCAAATATCAATTAATGACACCAAGTCATGTGAAGAATTTTCAGTACAATTCTAGATTAATCACAATCAATTGATTAATCAACCTGTAAAAATTATAAGATTAGTGCTGTCAAACAGAGTAATAAGCGACAATTTCGAGCATTTTTCATTAATAACTTCCTACCATGAAACATTTCATAAACAAGTTTGGGCTCATTTTAAAGGTCTTGGCAAGGGCTATTGTATGGCATCCCTGAAAAATTCCATATGCTATTTGTAAGGTGCAAGACACAAAAGAAAAGCGTCCCAAATTACCTCTGAGAGAGGGGTTATTTGAAACATTAGAAATAAAATTTAATTTTAAAACATTTTAATCCTGCACTGTGTACTCATCTATTACCTACTAACAGTGCTCTTCTTCCCTAGTAGATTATGAAGATGTAGAATAAATGAAATTTTCTGCGATTTGTACATGTTTTTCCTTTATTGATATGATTTTACCATATGCATACTATATTACCATATTATTGATGATATTACTGTATTATTGATGTGATATAACCTTTTCAATGGACATGCCATTGAGCATTGACAACAACCTTATCCACTGCAAGCTTCATATCAGCAGTTGTATAGCATTCCTTCTGTATCTGTGAGCTTACAGGACTGGGATTTTAATTTTGCACCATTTTNTTTATGTAAGTAAAATTTTTTAATACAGCAAATTTTTTTTTTGCTCCAGACCTTAGCAGAGGTACTTTTCCAAAATTGCACTTTTCACACTTTTTTCAGTGATTTTTTAGAGATGGTAAATGTTTGATTTCTTGACTAGCTTTATACATAATAGATAGTAAAAATGTTGAAGTTTACGCCACTATTTTTAGTTTTGCAATATTTTGATTAGTTTAGCTGCTACAACATTTCTACGATATGTGGGACGCGTGTCCCTATTTATCCCGCCTGTCCCTATTTATCCCGCCTGTCCCTTTTTACCCCGTCTGACAGTATATACTGCGGATTGCAGAAGTTTAAAATTTTTATGAAATGACATGTTTGCAAAGTGCAAACCTTGATTTTTTCAATTAAACAAAAATTTATGACCTTAAAGCCACAAGATTTATACCTACTGAAATTATATCTTAGAGCCGCGATATTTCAGAAAAAATTTAACTTTTCCAGCCCTGGCTATTACCTGACATCATGACATGCGCACATTAAAATGGTAGGTATGAAATGAGTAAGGTTGGGTTTTTTGGGTACATAAAAATGAGAAAAATTATCAATTTTTTGTCTGTAATTTTTGAAAATTATCCATAATACAATAACTTTTACCCAGAATTTTGGAAAATTCTGGCCAATATTCCTAATTAGGCTCCAAAAAAGACATGAAACTCTGAAATTGGACTTTACCAATTTCTGCAATTTTTTATTATTATTTAGAGTCTAGAGAATATATTATAATTCCTGGAATAAATTTCAAAACAATTTGAAAAACATGATCCATAACCATTTATAATAACAATCTACCTATAATAATTTGATAAAAAAAATTGTGCAATTAACCATAAATGTGATAAATTTTTTAGACATTCACAGGTGGTTTTTGCCAAATTTTCCATAATGGTCCCACACCTGCTTTTTGAAAATTTAAAATTTAAACAAATCATATTACTCATTACCTATTTTTTATTAATTAAAAAATAGGGTAGATAGGTAGGTATATACCATACCCAGGATGGTGCCGTTTTCTGCGGATTAATCCGGCGTAAACGAGGCTCCAAGCCCTTCTACTGGCGTACAACGCGGCATACAAAGAGCTAAAATAACTTTATTGGCGCACACGCCTGGCGTACGTCCGCATCTGGCTTGTCCTGACGCACCGTACGTCCGCATCTGGCTTGTCTTGGCGTACGTCCGCATCTGGTTTTGCAGTATTTCGACACGCAAATGTATGACGTCACCATTTCAACCATCAATGAACGCATGGAACTAAAACAAAGCTTAATATAAAGGAAAAACTAGAGAAGTGACGGAATTACCTACGATGTCGGAATATACCGCGTTTACCCTATACCAATTTCTTAAGTATGATAATTTTGGTATCCAGGATACTTTACTGGCCTACTAATAGGACTCAAAAATGAACTTGGGGGAGAGTCTAAAAAACTCTCTGCTTTGCCACTATGCGACGCACAAATGTATGACGTCACCATTTCAACTATCAACGAACGCATGGAACTAAAACAAAGCTTAATATAAAGGAAAAACTAGAGAGGTGATGGAATTACCCACGATGACGGAATATACCACGTTAACCCTACATAAAATACCAATTGAAATCCATACTAAAATTTAAACTTTACTAATATAATTAAACTAAATGATGAGCAATAATTAATACAGTATGAAATAATTTACCAAAATTAAATGAAAATATGTACCTGCACCAGTTGACACAGAAGTAAACTCTACTGTCAGGCGGTTTTCATCATCCAGTAGAGCCATGGAGCATTTGAAAGATATTTGGATAATTGGATATATATCAAGACATAAAGCTATTAATAAAGAGGTAAATATGATATTATGAATTTTTACTGAAAAAAACTGAAAGACATGTACTAGCTAACTTAGGTAGCTATTTAGATTTTAGTTAGTTATTTTGGCATCATAAAAACACCAAAGTCAGAAATGCAAGAAAGCAGAAATATGTATAAGCAGAGGTTAATAGAATCAGTGATAACTCGTCATAAATTAAAAAATAAGTCCTTCAAAATTCAAGTTTGTTCGAACTGTTTTGATACGATGTATCTAGCCATAATTTTGCCAGGGCACTGCCCACTGGCCACTGCCACAGATGGAACACCACGAATACTCTTCTCACTTCATCCATACTTACGGAAAAAATATTGCTAATAAATTCGCGAATGCCTGGATAATCATCATACACGAATTCGGCTTGCACATAACGAACTCAAGATCAAGTAACTCCAACATGAAACTAAAAAGTATAAATAATATCAGTATAAACGAACACCATGGCATGTGATAAATGATGATCATAAATGATAAAACGAATCTGGGAAAACCTAACTTTAGCTCTAGAAGTAAAATTGCCTTATATTATGAATAATTTTATTTTAGTTACTCGTCGCACTAAAATTGATGACCCGGTTCTGTATATAATGGGGAATATATTTGTAATATTTCGTATTTAACCATGAAACGATATACATTTCTTCTGCATGACCTGCGGGCCCCAATTCACTTCTCCTTCGAACGTCACGTCGGTATCGCGCTGTCATTTTCGTCTCGTGTGTTAGTGGTGGTTTGTGGCACTGCATGAAAGATAGAGAATTTCTGTGTTATATTTCCTCGTCCTAGTAGAATAATTTTCTTGCAAATATATGTATATTTCCGTAGAATTGTGTAAACTTTATTGCTGATGACGGAAAGTTTTGAAATTATTAATGACGACTCAAGCAGCCTCGAGGCTAAACTGAAGTCTACGGGCACTTTATCTTGCTGCCTTTTTCCTTTGGTTTTAGCTGCTATCATATGTAATTATGTTATGAAATGAATAATTGTAATGACAGGGCCACGGCCCACGACTCACGAGCAGCCTAGCAGTAGCCAGTAGGTACTAGGTAGTAGGCTGTAGTTAGTAGCACTAGTAGCTTAAGATGAGGTAAGTAATTCTTATATTGAGAACCTCATTGCTGTTTAAAATAATTAAATGGAAGGAGCCAGGTGCCAGGAGACTGCCTGCACTGCTGACTGCGCACCAGCAACAATGAAACCTCACAAAATGTTGCCATATGTATTTAAAAACCTTTAGAATGCAAACCTACCAAATCCATATATTCCGACACAATGTGACACTGTGTATGACTAAATTGGGCATTTTGTGAGACTAATTCCGGCTGCGCTTCAAACTCTACTAATTCGTAATGCCGACACTCTTGTGTTTGAATTCCGATCGCTGTGTGAGCTGTATTGGAATACGACACAGCTTGGAATTATAACACTATTGAATATTGAACACTACTTATTTAGGCTTTTAATTAATAGCTATTAAGAGGATCGGCTACCCTAAAATTTGAAAATTTTGAGTTTTTCTGTTTCTTATCTCATCTTACAGGTTGTTTTCTTGCGCATCGAACAGTATAAATATCGTCCCTGTACGTCAAAAAATGACTTTGTGAAAGCTCCTCAAATGGAGGCAGGTTTTAGGTCCCTTAACAAAACTCTACGAGGATAAATGACGCGCTGGTCACTCCACAAAGGAAGGCCTGGCATTATCAAGGGGGATAGAGCTTAAGAATCCCTCAAAGTTGTGATTCTTGTGAATACCAGAATTAGTTGTAATGTTGGGCATCATGGGAAGAACATTTGATAAAGAGACACAAATTGGCTGGGCACCAACCACGCCATGGCTAGTGTGGGAACTTGGGAAGGCAGATCCAGGTTACATTGAAGTGCTGAGTTCTGAGTTAAGCCTATGGCTAAGGGTAAAGGGAGGTGGTTGTGAAAGAGATGGAATTGCATTGGGATCGAAAGAGGCGAGTAACGAGTTTTCATGGCTGGAGCAAGTGTTTCAATCTGAGTCTGAATGACTTGAAGCTCCACTTTGTTTTCTCCGTTTGTTTTTGCCCATCGTGTTCAGCTCAGGCAGCACTGCAAGGCTGACACAGGGCAACTGCCCTTCAACGATGACATCGTTGGCGCTCCAAGTATGAACGCGTTCAAGAACAGACTAGATCATAGTGGCAAACCAGAGCTTTTTTGGATTCAGTTCATTTTTAATTCCCTCAATAACTGAAGATATTAACCAATTTCTTAAGTAGGGTAAACGCGGTATATTCCGACACTTTAAGGACGCAACGAGAAATGAAAAACTATAAAAAAACGTATGCATTACGTAAGTTCTGTTGCCTTCACATGACTCTCAAAACACTTCACTACGCGTCAGCAATGATGAAACGTCACAAAATGTTGCCACTGTCTCTTATACACATCTAGATGTGTATAAGAGACAGATCTTGATGAAATCAGGATGTGGTGCACTCGCTGGCAGTTTCATCTTAACCCAGTGAAGTGCTCATATCAGATATTCACCTCTCATCGGACTGTCCCTGCTACTACACTTAGAGTTTGTAACAGAAATATTAAGTATGTGGCTTGCCAGAAGGTGCTAGGATTTCATTTTGATTCCCCACACCTCACGTCTAGGGAACATGTTCGGATAACTCGAATTGCCTGCCTGAAGCGGTTGCAGGTGCTTCGGGCCCTTGGCTCAGTGAAATGGGGTGCATCCCGACAACTGTTGCGCAGAATATATGTAGCCTTCATAAGAAGTAAGATGGAGTATGGCTCCACAATCTTATGGGACATTCCAAAGTCCTTACTGAACCAGCTAGAAACCGTTCAAAATTCTGCTCTCCGATACATCCAGGGAGCACGCCGGACCACACCCATAATGTCTCTGCAAGTTGAAAGTTTCATTGCACCCCTTCAGCTCCGATTCAGATATTTGTTCACCAAGTGGGCTATCAGATATTTGTACATGCCTGCAGATGATCATGTGCCAACCATGCTAGGGTTCTCAGATCGGGGAGTTTATGGCAACACGCCTTACACTGCCAGAGCACGTGCAAACTTCCAAAACCTGGGCCTTATACTTCCTCAGCGTGCTGCAACTCCTTTGATAAATCCAATTCCTCCTCAAGTGGACATCACTTCAAGTATACTGATCAACTCACAAAACAGTTCCTTAATTAATATGCCACATGAATTAATTCAGAATTGCTTCAATGATTTCTGGCTGCAACACTATCCTAAGCATATCCAAATCTATACGGACGGTTCAAGAACTGGTNCATAGTGGCAAAGCAGAGAGTTTTTTAGACTCTCCCTCAAGTTCATTTTTGAGTCCTATAAGTAGACAAGCAAAGTATCATGGATACCGGCATTATCATACATTAGAAATTGGTTTAAATCTTGAGTAAATGAGGAAATTAAAAATGAACTGATTCTAAAAACTCTCTGGTTTGTCACTATGGGCCTACACTTCAGCGAAGACATCACTATGTTATGTAACGGATTACGAAAAATAATAGTATTTATAAGTATAAATAACGAAGAGAAATAATTATAATTTTGCAGTGGAGAAGAGTAAGTCAGTTGCCTTTCCTTCGTTGAAGACGCTCAACGAAAGTACGTAACGCCCGAGATACATCAATTTTTTTCCCTCATCATGGTCAAGCTTTTCTGGTGGTGGTGGTTGCGGGTTGTAGGTGAAGAAGAAGTCGCACGTTGACCGCTTGTAACACCTGGACTCAGCAATAGTTATTTAGTTGAAGTCTTGCTTTCTAAAGTACGGCGCACGGTGCATTTTTTTACCAGCATAGTACGGCGCACCGCACAGGTCGTTAAAATGACAAAATAAATTCCCGCGCACCTGGCACATCTTCCTGACCATGGCGTTTAGGTACCCTATGATAATGCTGGTATCCATGATACTTTACTGGTCTACTTATAGGACTCAAAAATGAACTTGCGGGTGAGTCTAAAAAACTCTCTGCTTTGTCACTATGGTATGGACTAGATAAAGCTATGTAAAAATATATGTTCAGATTTGAAATGCCTAGCTGAGGCTAGCTCCTTATCGAACCCGGTGGAAGTCTAGTAGCTACTTCAAACTATCGCCAGTCATGAAAAGATCCTTGTCCAGTCTGTTCTTAAACGCATCGACGCTGGGAGCCTCCATGCTCCACCACCTGTCACCGTGACCTGTGCTGGCAGTCTGTTCCACCTCTCCACCACACGCTGGGTGAAAAACCTTTGACGAAGGCTCGTGTTGCAGCGTTGCTTCTCCAGTTTGTAATGGTGACCTCTGGTGTTTGTATTCTATTCCAGTTTTAGTATACTGTTGTCCAGCTTATAAACATTGTGTGTGTACTTGTAACACTCAATCATATCACTTCTCATTCTTCTGTATGTCATACTCGGTATTTTCATCCGCTCAAGTCTTCTTTCATACTCAAGATTTTTTAACCCTGCTATTACTTTGGTTGCTCTACGTAACACACTCTCAATGAGCTTTTTGTCTCTTTCCAAGAAAGGCAACCACGCTACATTTTGAAATTCTAAGTGCGGTTGAACAATTGCTAAAAAAAGCATCTTTATAGTCTGAGAGTCCAGCTCCAGGTATACAAATGATCTCCTGATGAGACCTAACAGTCTGTTTGCCTTGTTTACCTGAATTTCGATGTGCTGAGAAAACTTCAAACTTGTGTCCACATTCACACCCAAGTCCTTTTCAAGTTCCGTTGCTTTTAATTCAATGCGCTCCGTACTCCCATGCTTTTGCATATTATACTAATAGTGTCTATTTTGCCTTCCCAAATGTAGCACTTTGCATTTGTCAGCATTGAAATTAAGCTGCCAAGTGTCTGCCCAGTCAACCAGATTATCTAAATCACTCTGAAGCCTTTGTTGCTTGGCGTTCGTTTCCACGCTGTTATACATCTTGGTGTTGTCCGCGTACATGGAGCATAAACATTCTACAGCATCTGGCAAATCGTTAATGAACACTACGAAAAGTATAGGCCCCATCATTGCCCCCATGACACTTCCTTGAGGCACTCTGCTTGTTACAGCCGTCCAGTCTGATAGTGCAGTCTGATTAATGCAGACTTGTTGACGTCTATTGCTCAAAAATGCCTTGATCCATCCTAACACCTGACCATCCAGACCAAGTGCTTTTAGCTTGATGAGTAATCTCTCGTGAGGTACCGAGTCAAAAGTCTTCGAAAAATCTAAGTATACTGCATTGACGGGAGC